GAAGAAATGGAAATTGGGGAAAATTCCAGGTTTGGTTTTAGACCTACTGAATTTTTTAAGCAACGGCAAATCATCCAAGTGGAAATGGAGGAGCAAATGTGGAGCTAAGAGGCCAGGCAAATGCAAATTTCAATGTCATGGGTTACAGAGACGCTAGCTGAAACTTTCAGAGTGGAAGAAAGCTCAGAATAAGAAAATACTTTAAAAAGCACAGCAAGAGCAAAAGGACTGAAAACCAAAGACTAAGCACCAAAGACTGCCCCCAGTTAAGATGCATGAAGTGCGATAGGAGCCAAAGGAAGATGGCGGAAGAACTGAACACAGTCAGAGAGGGGAAGAGAATGCTTCAAGAAAGACAAGGTTACTACGGCAACCTCATCACTTCTGACTTCCATTCAGCCACACTCATTCTGTTCATTCAATAAACATGCATCAAGTGTTTACAGTGTTCAGAGCCCTGCCCCTCTGTGCTGGTCAGAACCGTGATCTTTATCAATCAATCAATAAGCGTTAATTAAATGTCTATGCCCCAGGCACTGTGCTAGGTGCTAGGAATACAAAGAAAGAAACCATTCTCACTTTCAAGTAGTTTACACTCCAACAATGGGCATGTATAAGTATGTACAGAATATACATAAAGAGAATCAATAAGAAATATGCTCAAAGTAGTTAAATAGAAGATAGTTTGGGAGGGAGGGCGTTAGCAGTTCGGGGGGTCAGGACAGGCTTCCTATAGAGCCTATAGAAAGGAGTGTTTGAATTACATGTTGAAGGAAGAAAGGGATTCTCTGAGACAAAGGTGAGCAAGGAGAGGGGATTCCAGGCATGAGGGAATAGTCAGTGCAAAGGTAGGAAATGTGAAATGCAATGTCATGTGTGAGGAAGAAAAAGAAAGCCAGATGGGCGGGACCACAGAGGGCGGCAGGAGGAATAATGCACAATGAGGTTGGAAATAGGTTGGAATCATCCTCATGTAGCTTACAGCCTAGTTGAGGTGGGGGAGGGGAGGTATACAACACACATCCAATGAACAATGAAGAGCATAAGAGCTTAAGAAAAAAGGTAGCAACTTTCTCTTGTTTTCCTCCCCCTCGTAGTGACAAGATGATTCATCTTTTTAAATCCCTTCATTAGCTTTCTTCGTGTTTTCCTGTCAAGGTCAAAATCATCCTAGGTTGTTTTTTTTTTCCCTTATGTAAATTGTTTCATTTCCCTGGAAGCTTCAACAGGTCACTCCTCTTTTGGAGATGGCTGGCTACCTTCTCCTCCTGAGAATGGACCATTTGCTTCTCCCTCCTTCCCTTTCTCCTTAGAATGCCTTTCTCCTACTCTCTACTCCCTAACATTGATTTCTTCACGATGGACATTATCTCAACCATTCAACTTTGTGTTTTACTCTTGTCTGGTCTTTTGTTCCAAACTCCTCTGGGCAGAAATGAGACCCTGGGCATTTCAAGCCTTTAAATGTTCTACTAAGTGAAATATTGGATGCACTTTGTGGGTAATTATTAATAAATGAAGCATCACACAACCACAGTCTAACAGCCCCCAAAAACAATATCCCTGAAGGGATATTGGCTGTGAAAACCTTTTAAAGATTAATTATAAGGGAAAGAGCATCCTTGTACTATCAGCATCATGTGGGGATGCGATTATCTTGTGGGTGGCCCATTTTATAAAATATGGTCCATTCAGGAATGTAACAGTTACTTACTTAAAATACCAGCATTTTTGAAAATGTATTGCCACATACAGCATCCTAACTAATTACATTCATAGTGAGAGTCACAAAATTGTGCTTGTAACATGTAAAAGCCATTCTCTAGGTTTGGGCAATATTTTGCAAGAGACTGTAAATTTTTATTGAGATGATCATCCTGCAATTGAATTTCAAAATTATTATATGATCATCAGAAAATAAGTCCATGGGGACGGCTAAAGTACCTGGAACAGCATTTGTAAAGATCAAAAACCCTAGAAGCCCTCAGATTTACCCTGTGGACAAAGAGAAGCTGTAGCAGCAGGAGCCAATCAATTACTTTTATGGACGCAAAGTGTATTACAAAGCTGGGGTAAGAGATTAGCCAGTTTAATAACACATCTTTATGTCCTTTTTAAAGCAAGAGGTTTCATAATCAGGTTTCAATGAGGAATTTGATCAAAAGCCTTTCCACAAATTAATAAAAGGGCATTTCCATTTATTTTGTTAGTTCTGTCGCCTCCTAAAGAATGATTCCCCAAAGGATATTCATGTTAGGGTCTGGCATGCTCACGGTGGCAGGCTGGGAATAAAGTCTGGGCATCAAAAATGAGAGGGGCCATCACCAGGTACCGCCTCACTTTCAGCTACAATGAGCCACCCTTGTTGTACTCCATTCTATTCAAGAAGCACCCCCTAAGTTCCTACACTGTGCAGGGCCCTGGTGGACGCAGAGATGAATGAGACCATCTCTGCCATTGAAGAGCTTACAGTTGAATAAAAGATATGAGATTTCTTCTAAGCAGGAGGAGGACCTTTAAAGTGGCCATGATGACCATACTCACACTTGTAGGTTCAAAAGTGATTTGAGGTTATCTGGTCGAATCTTTTCATTTTATAGAAAAGGAAACCGAGGCCTAGAGTGGGGAAATAATGTGCCTTCAGTCATGGAGCTAGCATCAGAGTCATAACCAGAACCCACATTTCTCACTTTCCAGTTTAGGGCACTTCCTGTGACAGTAAAGGTTCTAAACCTTTTTTGTGTAATAGACTCTTCTGGCACTCTGGTGAAATCTATGGATTCCTTGTCAGAATAATGACTTTACTGGCATAAAATAAAATACAAAGGAGTACAAAGAAAACCAACTATATTGATATACGGTTATCAGAATGTTTAAAAAATAAGTCACAGATTCTAGACTAAGGACCTCTCCTCTATAAGGTGCAACCTTCCCCAGTAGAGAGCAAGGACAACCTTTCATTATGCTGACATTGAAGGGACATATTATAGTTGATTTCTAAAAGGCTTCCGGAGCTGACATCCCTTTTAATGATGCTTTTGAAATGTATAATTTTATATTTTTCTTTTTCTCTTTCTCTCTATTCTCTTTTTTGTTCCATGGCAGGATCATAGTGCAACTAGAGCTAAAAGGAATATCAAAGGCTGTCTAGTTGAACCTCTTCATTTTGCAGATGAGGAATCAGGCTCAGGGTTGTTAAGTGACTTTTCCAAGGTCACACGGCTGATAAGTGAAAATACAAATAATTGTTGCTTAGCTTTGGGGAAGCAGGATAAGGAAGAAGTAGACATGTCAGCAAAGAATTGTGTTTCAGATCCAAAACAAGGGGGAATGCTTGAATGGAAAAGTCTGGTGGTTGTTATTGTTTGTCCTTTGTTCTCGAAGAGGATCATGACATCTGAGAGGTGATGCCATGATATGCAAGTGAATCGGATTTAAGTGAGGGAGGACTGTGCAAAGTCACCAGCCTCACTTTCTACTCTGGAGCCATCTGGGTCCAGTGGCCAGATATGGATCAGGATGACTGGAGAAGCCCTAGAAGAGCCTGGTAATGGAAGCAGCAAAGGATAAGCACCAGAAGGCCACTTCTAAGGGAAATGCATCATCCAAAGTGCCACAGGAAGGACAGGTCAGGAATAGTTACAACCAGGAAAAGTCAGCTCTCTCTATAGCCGCTCTGAGGTAAGGAGAAATACTAGGTCCTGGTCAGGGTGGGGACGTGGGGGTGAAAGGGAGATGTTTAATTAGCTGGAATCATGGTTGCCATACCAATCATGAAGAGAATTCTTCTTGAAATTCAGCTAATTAAAGTACTGGACACCATTACTTGAGTTTCTCCACATATACAATAGCAACGTCGACCTGCCACAGCTACCATTACTCTCTCCAAAGAGATTCACAAGCCTCAGGATGCGGCCTGGTACTAAATGCCTGTAGCCCCCAGCTACAGCCACACCTGCAGAGAGCCCCTCACCCTCGCATCCAGACACAGCAGTGCTGCCAGAGCTAGAGAATCCAGCAGCAGAGCCTCTTCCACTCTGCTTATTTACGGCCTGGACCCTTCCCAGCTTCACTAGGGAGGAATTTGCCAAGCTGGACTTCTGTATAATATAATGAGCTCCTGTCCAAGCTATTACCCCTACAGGCACTGGCTGGAGGCTGGTCCTTCCTTCCTCCTCTCTGGTATAAATAGGTGTGTTGCATTCAAGGACAAACCTCAAGGTCCTAGCCAGGGGACGAATATATATCATCCTTTATGTCTCCAGAAAAGTCAAAATTTGTAGTGGGAGCTCTGCTGATAGCAAGAAAGGTTGAGGAGAATTCCTGGAACTGGCCCATGTGTCCAGGGGCTAGGGCCCACCAACGAGAATTCACCACAGGCTAGCCTGAGCTGACTCATGTTTAAGAACGTGATTTTCAAGTTTCACCTATGACTATTATTACAGGGAACTTCCAGGGAAAAGATAGGACCCCATTGAATATAGCAACCTAGTTTCCATCACTTCCAAATAAAGTTTATAACTACACAATTCCACAACTACAGAGACATCTTGGGCTTGTTGACCTTCTTCTTGGTAGTTTGGAAAAATCAAGCATGTTCAGGATGGCACTGTCGATGATACACAAGAGAGGAGTTGTGAAGGATGGTAAAGTCCCTTTGTGTGCAGGTGGCAGGACTGTACCATTCATTCCATGATAACTTCATGCCAGTAAGTTTAACAAAGTGTCTGTGGAGCCCCAGGCAAGCCTCCTCTAAACACCTGCCCAGTGATTACACGCTCTCTGAGCAAGAAAACTAGGCAAGAGCTCGGAAACATAACCTGAACCAGAAGGCAACTCAAAAGCACAGGCCGAGCCTTTTCCGTCACTATCAAGCATGGGAAACATGACTTGGCAAAGATTAAGGTATTATGCTGTCACAGAATGCCAAGAGGAGAAACAGATCCTGGATGCTTGCCAGCCCCCAGAGCAATCAGCCAATCCCTGGTGGAGCTCCCTACCTGCACACTTGGTCCTGGTGGTCAGTGGGGGACCTGGGGGGCCTGTCCCACCCTCGCCTGGCCGGGTGAGCAGCACTCGGATTTCATATTCCACATCAGGGTCCAGGTGCCATAGCTTGTAGTTGGGAGAATCGACGATGTGGGTCTCAGCCCAGTTTCCTGTGGTTGTACGGTATTCCACCTCCTTCAGGATGATGGGACCATCTCCAATTATGGAATTGGCATTTGGTTTAATCCACAGATAGGTGGCCCCAACTGCCAGCAATTCAGGAGGAGCAATGGGAGTGGGAGGTTCTGAGGAAAAAATTTAAAATAAACAAGACATTAGAGGAAAAGTGAATTAAATCCAAAACAGAAATAAGATTAAACCCAAAGTCATTAATTCAGGACTAAAGCACAAAGAGTGGAATGATGGAATTCTCAGAACTAGGAAGGACCAAACAATTATCTAGCTCAAACCCAACCTCAACCACAAAGTGCCTTTACAATGTTGCAATAGATATTACAGCTCAACTTTGGCTTGAATGACTCCAGTGATGGGGAGCCCATGAGCTCTCAATTTCAGATGAAAATATATAATATACTCTTTCTGGTCCCCATCTCTTTCCATGGAAATACATACTTTTGCAACAGTTTATAGAGTTTTAGTCTCTCTGTCTCTGTCTCTCGCTTTCTCTCTATTAATTTATTGAAACTGGGTCACCCTTGCTTATTCCCCAGCTAGAAACAAAGCAGGCACTCCCAGGCCCAATATTCCTGCTGATCTGGATGGAGGCTTTGACCTGCTCAATTTTCAACCTGAGACAGTCTGCCCCTTTCTTAGGCAGCCTGACGGCCTCCACCCTACCTCCTGGGGCTTTACCATATTGGTGCTGAGTGTGGACACAAATCAGTTTTAATCCAACCGTGGCCCATATATCCTGAGCTCAAACAATTCACCAGCTTTGGCCTATCTCGGTAGCAGATGTTACAGATGTGTACCACCGTGCCTGGCTATTTAGAATTTTAAAACAACCGAACACTTTATTACAGGTACAAAACCCGGCTACATTCCTCTTTGATGCTGATGGAGAGTAAGCATTTTGCAGAGGAAAGATCATTATATTTGGAGTCAAAGAACATGAGTTCAAATTCTGCCTCTGTCATTTGTTACTTGATGCTACCTTTGGCAAGTCACTCCTCCGTAGGTCTCAGTTTCCTCAACAGTAAAACAAGGAGGTTGATCTAGATGGTCTCTGAGATCCCTTACAGCTTTAGACCTATGATACTATGGTTTATAAGGCCTCCTTCATTGGCTCAAAAAGCCCACGTTTCACCCTCTGGGCCCCAAAGAGCCATCATTAGCTTTGGTTACAGTTTTGGCTTATTATAAATCAAAATTCCTTTACTAATATTGTCATCATGGCATGAAAGCAGTCAGAGACTCTTGAAAGGTATGCCAAGTGGAGGCAAAAGTCAGGCAGGTCATACCAAGTTCAAGCACTTCTGGGACCCGGCCCACGTGCCTGTCATCCAAGTCATCCAAGGTGTGGATTTTATTGTGCAAAATTACTCACGAAGCTATCTATATGTGAATGGAAGAATTGGGGTCTGCATTAGGGAAGGGAGCACTTAGATGAAGAAAACCAGGTATCTCTGAAGTATTCAGCAAATGGTGTTCTTTCGTAGAACTATAAAATAGTAGAATTCATGGGGACTTCAGAGGTCATGTATTCCAACCCATACCTTCCCAGGACTTTTCTCTACAACATCTTCAACAATTATTCTTCCAGCCTCTGCTCGACCTCCAGATGGAGAACCCATTATATCTCAAAGCAAACCACTCTATTTTGGGGGAGTTCCAATTGTTGGGAAATTTTTCTCTCTCACATCAGACTGAAATCTGATTCTCTGCACTTCCACCCACTGTCCCTTAGCTTTGCCCTCTGGGACCAAAGAGAAAAAGTGCAATCTCTCATCCACATAATAACTCTTCAGATATTTGAAGATACCCCATTTCCCGCCAAAGCTTCACTTTTCCAGGTTAAACATTCCCAATTCCTTCACTTAATCCTCAAAATCAGTTCAAGTTTCCTCAACAGAACAGACCTTCTCCTTGGGATGTGTTATGGCTTCCTAAAATGTGGGACTTAGATCTGAAAACAATATTCCAGGTGGGGTTTGAGCAAAGTGATTACAACTTCCTATATTCTACACACTACATTTCTATTAATGTAGCCTGATATTAAACTATTATTTCACTGCTATATCACTCTGTTAACTCATACTGAGCTTGGGGAAACAAACAAACAAACAAAAACCTCAGATGACTTTTCACTGATTATTATCTATCCACACCTTCCTCCATCCTGTACCCACAGAGTTGATTATTTTTTTGAATCCATATCTAAAACTTTCCATCTATAGAATTTAAGATGTATCTTCTGTTTAGTCTAATTTTCTGGCCTGATCGTATATTTTCAAATGCCAATTTTTTTCATTACCTTTCCCTCCCAGACTCAAATTATCTGCAAATTTGATAAACATGTCCTTTATGCTTTCATGGAAGTCACTGACTTAACAGGGACATGAATGTATATATGCCTTAGGGCATTCCACTAGAGAAATCACTCCAAGTTGATGTTGATCTGTTAATCACCTGGTGTGGAATCTGGTCATTCAAACAGTTCCTAAACCCGTCTAGCTTTACCATAATCCATATTGATTATTACAGGCTATAAAGTATCTATGGGAACAGAAAACTGTGTTGAAAAGGGCCTAGGACAGGGTTAGGGAACTTGCAGCCTCGAGACCACATATGGCCTTATAGGTCCTTGGGTGCAACCTTTTGACTGAATCCAAGTTTCATAGAACAAATCCTTTTATTAAGGGGATCTGTGAAGCTTGAATTCAGTCAAAGGGCTGTACTTGAGGACCTAGAGGGTCACATGTGGTCTCGAGGCTGCAGGTTCCCCACCCCTAGCCTAGAAGATATTTCCCCATTGAAAATAAAATCTTTTGGGACCAGTCTGGCTACTATAGTCATAGGAGGGGCTTAAGAAGAGTCTGAGGCAAGATGAGTCCCTTACAAAGTCATGGTGGTTATTATATGGTCCTGGGTTATCTTCAACATGTTTATAAATAGATTTATTTTATTCTTTGATAAACTGACAGTATTTATGGCCAAGCCTTTCTCTTTTATAAACTTAGGCCCTCTTCTTTTCCATTGTCCAGCTACTAGAAATCTTCTCTCTCATGAGTTTCCAAAGGTGGGATCTGTAGCTTGGTGACACCTTTGACTGGCTTGTTATTTGACAATTTAGAAGCAGCTAAGTGGCCTAATGGATAGAGTGCTGGGTCTGGAGTCAGGAAGACCTAAATTTATATCTAGCCACAGAGACTTACTGGCTGGTAAGGCTGGATATATAGATCTGTGAGTTACCAAATAGAGATAATAGTTAAATTCACCAGAGCTAATGAAGAGATAAAGGGAGAGAAGAGGAGGAAAGATCATCAAAAAAAAGAGAAGAGTGACCAGAATAGAGCTTTTGGGAATATCCACCTTTAAGGGCTGTAAGTATAAATGATAAGCCAGCAAAGAGACTTTGAGAAATGGGAGAGGCATAGGCACACAAAGCAGCCTTTTACAGATTCCTTCCCAGGGTTTTCTGTTCCCCTATCCCATGTGATAACTTCTCATTCTAAGATCCATAAGTGAAAAAATGTGTTAAACATCTCAGCCATATGGTACCAACATTCCTATGGATAAAAACAACTCTCTGAATGCCAGAGCTAGAAAGGAAATTAAAGATTTTCTCTTCCGATCTCTTGCTTTTACAGAGGAGGACTTGAGGTACAGAGAAGGTAAGACTATTTCCCAAAGTTACACAGCAAGTTAGAGCTGGGAGAGTTCAGGAAATTTCCAAACTAACAATTTCCTTTTCCTCTTCTTTTGCCTGGCATTCTTCATTTGTGTATCAGAAGGGGTTTTCAAGCATTGCTTCACCTGAGCCTTTGAAATGTAAAAAGGAATATTCTGGCAGCCAGAGTCCCTTGCACTCCTTCATCACTCTGTCACAGCCTACCTTTGGGGGGTGCACATGACACATAAGGGACCATGAGCGCTGCAGAGCTCAGTGGATGGAACTGTGGGCAAAGGCTGCCAAGTTGGTAACACATGTGGGCTTGTAGCTTTGTGTAGGCGTTTAGTTCAGATTAATTCACAGAAGGATCCATGGGCAATCTCACGGGCAACAGTAAAGGTTTTGTGACTATAGCTCATCTGCCATCTCCACTTTGGGTTTAAACATTCAACAGGAAAGAACATCTGCACGCGGAGTTGTTCACCAGAACACTTCGTCCCACACTGAAGGCTTCTTTTTTATTATTAACCTCATGTGGGACATGCTGGGCTACAATTTCTAGCACAGCCATTATTCTCAAGGATGAGATTGATATTGTGAAATGCAAAGGTAAGAGTAGGACAGCTGCAGTGTGGTAACAGGACCACTGCATTGCTAGTCCAAGAGCCTGCAGGTAAAGTCATGGGGTTATAGGGTCATAGGTTTAGAGCTGCAAGGAGCCTTAGAGGTTATCAGTATTCTCTTGGAAAAGAAATTACTGAGCCATTGAAAGTCAGAGCTACAATTTTTCCAGATTTTCCAGATCATTTTACTGGGCGGGGGGGGTGGGGAACAAAAGAGATTAAGGGTCTTGTCCAAAGTCCCATAGGTATTATCAGAGTTGGGATTTGACCCCAGATCCTTTGACTCCACAGTCAACAGTCTGGTTTCAAATCCAGAACCTGAGTTATATTAGCTGAGTGATCCTTAGGCAAGCCACATTCACACTATGGAGATTTCCTGAGATGTAAAATGAGAGGGTTGGACTAGCTGGGGCACAAAGCACAGTTCAGAGGAAAGGGCACTGAATTTGGAATGAAAAAACCTGGATTCAAATCCCAGCTCTGCTGCTCACTACTTGTGTGACCTTGGGCATGTCATCTAAATTTCTTTGGGCTTGTTTACTCATTTATAAGCTAGCTGGTCTCTAAAGTCCTTTCCCACTTTAAATCTATGATTTCTATTATTTCTAAATGTCCTGCTGGCTCTAAATCCTTGAATTATTGAAAAGAAAGCAAAAGGGTCTAGTCAGAATGATTTAAATTACAAATGTCTAATAGTTATCATGAATGTCCAAATATATACAGCAATAATAACATTTTTGTAATGCTTTATGATGTACACAGTGATTTCCTTCCAACCACTCACTGAGTCAGTTAGGGCAAGTATTGTTGGTTTTTTTTTTTAATTTTA